AAATCTTTATCCAAGGAAGAGGTAAATGAACCCGATGATGACAAGGATTTCTACAAAGGTGAAGAAGAATATAATTTTGGCCGAGTATTCTCCGATAATAACAACGAAGATTATAAGAATTTCTCTGATGATGGGAGCTTCTATGGATTTTCGGATGACGATGATGAAGGATATTATTATGATTTAAATACCGGCGAAACTTATAGAAAATCAGATCGTTCAATCTGCGCATATTAATGTAATTCTAATTTTCAGATACGCATTAATTGGTTATTAAAAAGATATTTTTCGTCGATTATTAAGAATAACCGGATCCACCTTTCTTTGTACCATTTCAGACGAAATCCCAATTCTGGTTAGTCACATTGTGGTTGCCTTCGAAAATAATAATTATTTCCATTTAAAATCATCCGGTCTGATTTTCTTTTTACATTCTTATAATATTGATGCGATGAAGGTATGATTAAGGTGCGATGTAGTCGCTGTTGAGTTGCAGTAATTTTTTTCCTATATATCCACTATGTGAATGCAAAGCAATTCTATGAAAAACAGGTATATCTCGGTTGAATCTTAGTGATGTGGATATGGCATCTCATTAGAAATGATATGACCACGTGATGTTGGAATTTTTAATGTGTAAGCAGGACTTACAATCTGTGCGACAATAAATTTTTTCCATGTTTAATCTGATCTTCCGACGGTAGAGGATTTAATGCCGAAGAACTTAATGGATTTTTGAAAGAAGGTTAAACAACATTGATAGTCACATAGATACCTTAACAGCTAAGGAAGTCGACGGTGAAGCATTTCTTACTTTAACGCATGAAGGTCTTAAAGTTTCTGGGATACCTCTTGGTGCTTCAACAAAAATCATAAAGTTGCTTAATGTCATTCAAGGAGGTAAGCGAACCTCTCTTTCACGCGCTTTTATATTAAATAATACAGAATACTTATTTATCCTTGTGCTCTTCTTTCTTGCTTCTTATCATCAAACCCGCCTAAAAAACACATTTACGTTATCTTAGAACAACCCGTTGCTGGTGAGTTATAATAAATTTAGTCGATGGAATGAACGTGTCTTGGTTTGATTTTCGATAGCCGTTGTTTCGTTCTCATCTTTCAAGCCTACATTATTTTTCTCGTTATTATCCCTTTCCTTATTATTATTGCTTTTGCATTCCTATTAATCAATGTAGACCCGCTAAGAAACAAAAATTAGGAAGTAAGTTTTCATCAAAGGGATTAGAATGAGCGGATTGTCAAAATTTTATGTGGACTAGGGTAATATACTAATGGCTTCTTTAATTCACTCTTTCAGATCCATTGTTTACAAATATATTAGATGTTGTCCTTAATCTCAGGAAAACACTCCCGGAAAGTTTACGAGATGACATCGAAACAATGTCAGAGGAACAGGAAATAGAGCAGGAAGAGTTAAATTCAAATCTAATCCAGCACCCTGACAGAAAACCTCTTGCAGTAATTAAGGAACATGTGCTATATGTACGGAAATCTTACGAGGATCTATATAACATAGTTACCACTGAGAATTGCAATCCCAAGTTCCTCATATCTGGCACGTCGGGTGTCGGTAAATCGTGTTTCTGTATTTATTTATTAATCCGGCTTTTGTGCAACAGAACCGATGCCACGGCCATTTTTAAGGCTCTTGGTGATAAACTTTTATACTGTTTTGAGGATTCTAATCTCTTTGTTGGAGATTTTGAAGAATTTTCGGAGCGACTATATAATCCTAAAACATGGTACAGTTCCCAGGGATGTCTAGCAAGAACAGTTGTTTCTGTATCATCAAAAAGTATCAAAGACAGAGGATTTCAAGAGTTCCTCAAGAAATTTGTAAATAAATTTTGCATGCCACCATGGTCAATAGAAGAGTTGGAAGCCTGCCGATTAGGTGTCTTCCCGGAGGTACCACAAGATTTAATGCTTGAACTTAGTGATGAAGCAGGTGGTGTGCCAAGATACGTTCTTGATATGTCAGCATCTATTATTCGTCAAGAAAATCCCAATGTCAAGGACAAACAAACCATTCTCAGCAATCGGGATGAGATTAAGAAAATGTCTTTAGAACGTGTTGAACAAGCTCCTTTTGAAATTAGCGATTTTAGAAAGCTTATACAGTGCTTCTCTGAAAATTCCCAATATGTCAAATTCAGCAGTCGTCTCATTCACCGGTGGCCTGACACTTTCTACCGAGAAAAATCTCTCTCATGGGCCTCTGGTCGTATTTTTGACAAAATCCGAAAAAAACTGGAGGATAGTAGATGGAACAATCTATTTCTAAAAATTTAAGATCCTGATGACCCTTCTAGCTCCAGGGGGATCATGTTTGAATCACACGTAA